GACTGCAGGTGCTAGACGGTGATGAGAAGCCTGTGATTACTCAGGCATGGGAAAAGAGGGAGTAGTTGCATGGGAGAAGAGGTAGCTAGCCACAGATAAGGAGCTAAGGGCTGGAGTGATGAACCAATCAGAATGCTGTGTTGTTGGAACACATATAACTAATTATAGCAGAGTATATATGAAACATGTAGTAGCCAATTATAATAGAGTAAACATGGAATATGTTTTAGCCCATTATAAAAGACAGCTGTGCTATTCAATAAACGAAGCTTGCTGATTGCTCATATTGAGTGTCCATGTCTTCCCCCGTCGCAACACTAGTCCACCAAGAATATATACATTTATCAACTACTGACACATCACTAAGTTAAGAGGAAACTGTACCCTACAGAAGAACTACAGAGGTTCAAGACAGACCCATATTAAACATGTCACTATTACATTTTTTCTAAATGCTCTGCAAACAGATTCACAGATGATTATGCTGAAATCCTGATTTACTATAAAGTTTAGTGAACCCACCATTTATATGTTCACCACCTGTTTATACACCAGCAGGTAAAAAAGGACGATACTTCAAGAGTTCGTTGGCAGCAGCCCATTGCACCAGGTCCCACACCAGCATGTGGTCCAGGAAACCTTTGAGGGAGGGCGAAACCTTGTGCACGTTTTTAAGCTTGGGGGGCAGATTGTCACGGATCACTTTCATGGCCTTCAAGGGCGACGCGTTAAAATAAGGCGGTTCTCCGTCCACCGTCTCGATGACCATCACGCCCAGCGACCAGATATCTACCTCCGGGCCATAGGGCAGGCGGGAGATGACCTCCGGCGCCATCCAGTACGGGGTCCCCACCAGCGACTTCTGTCGTGGCACCTCCTTGTTGACTTGGGCACAAAACCCAAAGTCGGAGAGTTTCACCCTGCCATCGTGGGTGAGGAGGATGGAGTCGAGATGGACACGTCCCAGGGGACCCCCGGAGGGTTTTGCCCCGTCCCAGGATGCCCCATCGTCCCCCGTCCATCCCCTTCTTTTACCTTGTGCACGTTTTTAAGCTTGGGGGGCAGATTGTCGCGGATCATTTTCATGGCCTTCAAGGGCGGCTCGTTAAAATAAGGCGGTTCTCCGTCCACCGTCTCGATGACCATCACGCCCAGCGACCAGATATCTACCTCCGGGCCATAGGGCAGGCGGGAGATGAGCTCCGGCGCCATCCAGTACGGGGTCCCCACCAGCGACTTCTGTCGTGGCACCTCCTTGTTGACTTGGGCACAAAACCCAAAGTCGGAGAGTTTCACCCTGCCATCGTGGGTGAGGAGGATGGAGTCGCTCTTGATGTCGCGGTGGATGACGCGCTGCGCGTGGAGGACAGAGAGGGCCTTCAGGACGGCCAAGCAGACGGTGGCAATCTGCTCCTCGTTCATCCTGGTGTGCATGACAATGGAACAGTATCTGATTTATGTTGTATTCACCCTTCAGACTTGCAAACTTGATGTTCAGACTTCAGAAAACTTACAAGTGAGCTGATTTAAATGCTGGGTTGGAAAATCCATTTCTACTGCGGGGTGCTGTGTCATTTTTTCTATATCAGCAAAATACATTAAAACAGTAGAAAGACTGCTTCAATTACTCTGAAGCAAAAGAACTGCTGACATTACTTGAAATTAGTACTGCTTGATGCAAAAATATGTAAAGATTGGATAGTTTTGGTAAGTGATCCCTCATGTTCCTCACAGAATGAGTAATTAGGTGCAGAAACATTGCAGCATTTACATCTTCTTTGAAGTTTCAGGTAGGAAAGAAAGAAAGACTGTTCTCTACTTCAAGCCTTTAGGATTCTACACTCCAGGTCTTACCCTTCCACATGCTTAGAAGTGTTCCCTTGAAATATTTGACTACACTGAGATTTCCTCTTTCCTCCTTTTATCTTGTGTGAACAGGCAGCTCTTTCTTTCAGTAGGGGGAAGGCTCCTGCTCCACCTGAAGATTTGCAACCACGGAACAGATTCAGTGCCCTCAGAGCAGTTAAGGGGCTAGGAGCTTTGTCAAACGAATCATCTGTGTTCAGTAAACCTGAACAGCAGCACAAGAGCGAAGTGGCAAGTGTTAGCAAGGGATGGAGGACCCTCATCTTCTTAGACGACTCGTCATCCAAGGGTTGCTGCTTGCTAGGTGTTTGAATTCATGGCATTGTGAAACTCTGCCAAAGCTTGTCCAGCCCTCACAGTATTACTCCCACTCTTCCACCTGGGCACCAGCTATACAGCTAGGCAGACCTAGAAAGTACCAAGTGTGACTACGGTCAAGAGCCAAGTGGTGTTCTCCCCAGTCGCACCAGGAAGGGCTTGGGGAGCAGACAGATCCTGCAGGTCAACAACCAGCTGTGAACTGGTGTTGGCAGCAGGGTTTTGGGTTCTATGACCATAGAACCCTCTTTGAGAATCGAGGACTGCTTGGAAGAGATAGGATCCACCTGACTATGGTAAGAACAGTTTTAAACAAGGAAAAATAGAGGAGGGAAAATACAACCAAACATCAAGGGACAAAGTAGTGGACTCCGTTGGGAAGCAAAAGGTGTGGGATGATGCCAACAAGAGATACCCCATAGTCAAAAAAACAGGGCTGAAATAGGATCACCCCAAGCATATCACATAAATAAGTAAAGGCGTACAGAAAAGCACTCCAGGGAAAGCTCTCATTCTTGGGAATCAAGCAAGACTGGATGCACATGTGAAGTGCTTGTACAGTAATGCATGCACCATGGAGAACAAACAAGAGGAAACAGAGCTCTGTGTGTAGTTACTAGGGCACAGTCTCATTGGGATCATAAAGACGTGGTAGGATGGCTCATACGACAAGGTTGTTTCCATGAATGAATACAGGCTCTTTAGGAAGAAGAAGCTGGGAAGGCAGTGACAGGCCCTTTCTGTGAAAGAGCAGTGCAAATGCATGAGCTCTGCTTTGGGATGGATGATGAACCAGCTGAGAGGTTGCAGGTCAGGATGACCAGGCAGACAAACATAGGCAACATTGTTAAAGGTGCCCACTACCAACCACCTGATCAGGATAACATCTTCATGGAAAAACTGATGATGCATGGTCTGGGCAAGTGGATAGTTCGGTGGGTTGAAAAATGGCTGAACTGCCAGGCTCAAAATGTTATGAGTAGCAGCAAAAAGTCCAGCTGGAGGACAGTCCACTAGCAGCATACCCAAGGGGTCAACACTGTTAATCATCTTTAACAGTGACCTAAATGATGGAACAGAGTACAAATCTTCAGATAATACAAAACCAGAAGGAGTGTTTGATACACCTGATAGCTGTGCTGCCACTTGGAAGGACATTGAGAGGCTGGAGAAATGGGCTGACAGGAACCTTATGCATTTCAGCAAAATTAAGTGCAAACCAGTATATTCTCAGGGCCAAGTGTTTGGAAAGCAGCTTTGCAGAGAAGCAGCTTGGTAGAAACCAAGCTGCACACATTTCAGCAATGCATCTTTGTGGCAAAGAAGGCCAACCACATCCTGGGCTGCACTGGGAAGAGCATTGCCAGCAGGCAAAGGGAGGTACTACTCAGCTCTGATGAGACCACCTCTGAAGTGCTGTGTCTCAGTATGAGAGAGACCTGGACATACAAGGAAGCTCAGCAAAGGGCAATTAAGATGATTATCAGACTGGAGCATCTGTCACATGAGGTGAGACTGAGCGAGCTTTGTCTGTTTAACCCCAAGAAGAGAAGGCTCAGTGGGGTCTTATCAGTCCTGTGTATAAATACCTGATGGTTCCTTCTTCTTTATACTCTCACATAATCTTCTTAGTCATGTCCAGTGAACAGACAAGAGGCAGTAGACACAAACTGAAAGACAAGTACTTCAATCTGCCAACAAAGAAAAAAATGTCCCCTGCTTTTTTTGTTTTGTTTTGGTTTGTGTGTTTGTTTTGTTTTTTAAAACTGTGAGGGCAATTGAATATTGGAACAGGTAGCCCAGAGGGGCTGTGGAGTCTCGATCCTTCCATATACTAAGAATCTGACTGGACACAATCCTGCTTTGAGCATGTGAGGTGGATTAAACGCTCCAGAGATGCATTCCAACCTCAACTATTCCAAGACTCTTTGCTGCAAACCAGAACAACTCTAACAGAAAGCTGTTCATATCTATCCTGTACCTGTCCAATCTTCATTTTCAACGAATTACATAGAAAACACTTTATTCTGCATCTACAGTCAAGACATTAACCTCTTCACATTAAAAAGAATAAAGCAAATCTTTTTGTAAAAATAAATGTCTGTAGGAACTGGCATGATCTATGTGGACTGCTGACTTTGGTAATTGCTGCTTAAGCTCATAATGAATGAAAAAAACATGTGTTTCTGTGAAAATAGGTAATTCTGCATATAGCTACATTTCAGATGCACATCTGCAGTCCCCAAAAACATCCTAGATCACACCGAGACAGTAAACTAATGCATTTTATGCTATTTAATCTTAAAGTTCAAAATAATAAAACATTACCTAGTGTAACAGCTATTATTCTATCATGTACTTTCAAGAATGTAGTAACTTAGCCAACAAATAAATTGACAGTTCCAGTTTATGATGGAAGTGTTATTGCATGAAATTAATTCTAACATTATTGATACACTGACTGTAGTTTCGAACAATGACTGGGGCCAATACTTTACCTTACACTGGTTCCAACTTTTTAAAAAAGTTTGAATTTGTAAGCTTAGTTTTAATCCAACTTACTTTCCAGTAAGCTCACACTTGAATAAATACCTTCCTAAAACAAAACTTTTTTTTTTTCATTCAAGATAGTTATCTGAAAACTATACAGAAAAATCTGTATTAGTCATGTTCCAGATTACAGTACTGTCTAAGCATAGGAAAAGCCACATCTTTATGGAATACCATCCAAGTTTGAACTAAAATACACTTAAATACAGAAATATATTGATAACAAAAATGTGTGCATTTAATTCATTAAACAAAAAATTTCTTACATTTTTTGAAGCACCTGGGCCATCACAACCCCATTCGTTAAATCTTCCACAGTTTGGCATGGTGCCTCAACATTAAATGTCTGGATCTGTGGGAGAAAGGAAAAGTTTATATTCTTTTAGTTCAATGTCAAGGGATTTTCAAAACTAAAAGAAATACTACCAAATAGCAAATAGAACAGAGTAAACCCCACAAATTTAGTGTACATGTTAGGAACTAAGAAGCTTTAGATTTAAGAGCAATTGAGGAAATGAACTACTGACAGGGCTTGGCATCTTTGTTTTCAAAAACCTGTAAATTTTGCTACAATTAACAGCAGTACATTCTCCAAAAGGCAAATTGTCCACACTGATTTCTAATTTGAAAAGTCACTGGGACTTCTGTTATCCCATTCAAGTACTTCTGGAGTGCTTCCTCAGAGCTCAAGAACTTTTGATCCCCAAGTGTAAGAAATCAGGAAAGGATGACCAACCTACTGGCCTTCTATGACAGAGTGACTACATCAGTGGACGAGGGAAGAGCTATGGATGGCCTCCATCTGGATTTCTGTAAGGCCTCTGACCCGCCCCCCCCCCAACATCCTTCTCTCTAAACTGGAGTGTATGAATTTGATGGGTGGACTGTTCGGTGGATGAAAAATTGGTTGGATGATGGCATACAGAGGGTAGTGGTCAATGGCTCAATGTGCAGATGGAGATCAGTAACAAGTTGCGTCCCTTGGGGGTGTGTATTAGGACCAGTGCTGTTCAAATATCTTCATTGGTGACATAGACAGTGGGATCAAGTGTACCCTCAGCAAATTTTCAGATGACACCAAGCTGAGTGGTGCAGTTGACATGCCTGAGGGATGGGATGCCATCCAGAGGGACCTGGACAGGCTCGAGAAGTGGGCCCCTGCAAACCTCATGAGGTTCACCAAGGCCAAGTGTAAGGTTCTGCACCGGGGGCAGAGCAACCGCCAGTATCAATACCAACTAGGGAATGAAGGGATTGACAGCAGCCCTGCTGAGAAGGTCTTGAGGGTACTGGTGGATGAAAACCTGGATGTGAACCAACAATGTGTGCTCACAGCCCAGAAAGCTAACCGCATTCTGGGCTGCATCAAAAGAAGCATGCCCAGCAGGTCTAGGGAGGTGATTCTGCCCCTCTACTCCACTCTGGTGAGACCCCACCTAGACTACTGTGTCCAGCTCTGGAGTCCTCAGTACAGGAAAGACATGGACCTGTTGGAGCAGGTCCAGAGGAGGGCCACAGAAATTATCAGAGGGCCAGAGCAGCTCTCCTACGAGGACAGGCTGAGAGAGTTGGGGTTATTCAGCCAAGAGAAGAGAAGGCTCTGAGGGGACCATGTTGCATCCTTTCAGTACTATAGGGGGCATATGAGAAAGATGGGGACAAACTTTTTAGCAGGGCCTGCTGTGATAGGACAAGGGGTAATTCCTTTGATGCAGCCCAGGATACAGTTAGCTTTCTGGGTTGTGAGTGCACATTGTTGGTTTACGTCCAGGTTTTCATCCACCAGTACCCTCAAGACCTTCTCTTGCCCTCCCTTCCTGATTTCTTGCACCTAATTAGCTTGACAAAATGCAGAAAATTTAATTGAAACTGCCACGCTGACAGCCACCTGCTAGAAATTAAGTCGCAAAATCCAATATTTTTTCTCATAAATATTTAAGCAACTAACATTCTTACAGAGTACAGTATCTAACTACATAAGGGTAAATTAACAAGACTAATTTAAGTTCATACCTTAGAAGTAGGCAGATTTAGTAGGCTATCAGTAATATTCTAGAACATATAGGATGTATAGGTTTTCTATGTATGTCTGTATGTACACACATATATTTAAACATATATATACCTATATACCCATATGAACTAGGATACTACTAACAAAGTATTGGTTTATATGTATATGTATGTGTAAGTATTATACACAAACATACACACATTTGTGTGTGTATATATAAAAATATTTTTATGTGCTTGTATACAAAGATATAGATACATGCACAGCATGTATGTACCACACATACATGAGATCTATGCAATATAAATTGCTGCTTTTTTAGGAAAATTGTTATAGAGAACAAGCTCATTTCTACTGGCAGGAAAAAGAAGCTAATGCTAATATGTCCACGTGAGCTTTACTTATTCTTCGACTTTGAGATGGCTCCTTCAATTGCCTTTTAGTTTTCCATTGTAAAATCGTTGACTCTAAGTCAGTTGATCCTAAAGGGAAAGACTAGCAATGAGGTGTTAGCTAGTCTGTTCCCATCACAGGTAGCTGTTAGGAAGCTCTACTTCAGGTAAAAGAAGAGGGAATCTTTATTCTGTGATAAGATTATCTTATACCTTTCTTGGTTGGTTAATATATGCTTGCTTGCACATCCCTGAAACATCTGCTAAATCTTGCAATCCCACTACTGATCATATTAGGAAGTATTTGAAACTTTCCAGCTTCCCACGCTGCATTTCAGACTACATAATATGTTTCTTTAATCTTTGAAAGTGACTTTTGACTGCAAGTTAGAAAAAAACAGTAGAGAATATCTATCAAACCGAAAGCAGTAACAAAATTTTTCTGTAACATTTCTTTTACCTAACGAAATTCAAGTTCATTCAGGTATAAAATACATACTTTTTGCCCCAGCCCTTCAGCACAGCATGAAAAGTATTGCTTATTAGATGCTTAATGTGATACTTTCATTATTCTCAAGAGAAATAGAAGTTAAATAGTTGCCCAAATAGCAGGTGAAAACTGAATCCACAGATTTGGATATTACATATTCTTATGGTATAATCCACACATTTTCATATAGACCATAGAATCATAGAATGATTAGAGTCACAAGGGACCTTAAAGATCACCTAGTTTCAAGCCCCCTGCCATGGGGGGATCATTTTGTCCTGAATGAAGATTGCCAGGCTACTAGAAATCTGAATAGCACCACACAAATGTGACCAAATTGATCCACACTAAGATAATGGACAGACAGCAAGGCATAGCTTCTGTTTGGTGACATAAGGCAAAGCAAAGTCCATTAACTTCTTGGCTAGTGGTTAGCCAGAAAAACTTTGCATACTAGTAGTCCAAATATATACATATTTCTAATATTACTGAAACAAATTAAAAAAAAAAGGTGAACACAGATGACAGCTTTCCCCTTGCAAAATACAGAAAAGGAATAACTATTTAAAGCCCACAACTCCACCCTCTTGCAGCTATAATTTAGATGAAAAGTACCGTCTCTATTGACAGCTGGAATAAAGAACTCTCCCCCAAAGGCACAGAAGATGAATCCAAAAGCATAAAGTTCTACTGAAATATCTGCACAAACTTTCTGATTGGTGTGGAAACACAGTCTTTCAGAGGATCACACGAGTACAAAAGACGTGGCAGCTATAAGATAGGATTCAGAGAAAGCTGGTAGTAAGTTTTTATCAGGCTAAGAAATTTCAGATTTAGTAGATTCTAGAACTGGTAACACAGATGTATAGTATGTGACTAAATTTAGCGTATCTTGCAGTTCAGGTCTTCTCCATTTCCAGGATTTATATTTCAGCAAACATTTTCCTGAACTTCGTGGAGACTATGTAGGTATTCAGAAAAAGATTTTTCAGTGGCTGACCAAATTCCATGACAACTTAAGAAAAGCAGGAGCCACCATGGAACAGGCTCCCATCTTTTGGCATTTTCCATAAAATAAAATCAGATAAACCATGTTGGAGTGATCAAGTCCTGCTGGGTTTTTTTCCTAACCACCAAAGGGGCAGTAGTATTGCTAAAACAACCATAATCCCTGTTGCAGTTAAACAAAAACTTATTTCTACATATTCCTATCCTGAGGTAAAACTATGGATACCTTGCTTCCATGGCAAACAAGTTCACTCAAAGGTTTATTTTATGTAATCCTGGAATGTAGGAAAGGCTATAATCCATCTAGTACTTTGCAACTCTGCAATGAATAAAACACAGATGCTGATTTCCCAAATCTAATGGCCCCAAAACACACATCGCATGGGGTGTGAATATCTACTTGTTGTATAGCTTAAGCATATAAACGTAGCTACTCTGAGAGATTTAACTCCAAACAGTGCATGTGACTTCCACAGAGGACACAATGCACTATGCTTCCAGTGTAGTACGCACTTACAAAGAAGCTTGCTGTTAAATAGCATGGAAGAGCCCTATGAATTCTAGGGCTGAAGTACATTATCATCAGATTTACAATGCATCTTTTTGTGCAATACTTCCTACACTACATGCACCACTCCAAAAACACTTCCTGTATGCCCCCTTCGAAAAGCTGCCATCCCTTTGTGGCCCCAGCTAGTCCACTGAAACACAACTCCACCTTTGTATCCATTCAGAAGCTTTTGCCTGCCCGATGCAGGAGTGGAGAGCTGGCTGGACTCCCCCTGCCTTTAACCTTAGAGACCTTTTCGCTCCACAAAAAACGTTCCTCCTCCTTTACATGCTGTCTTGTTCATTGCCCTGAATGCAAAGTACTAAGTAACTCATAGGAATGACTAAGTTACACATGGCAAAGTAAGGCAGCCAGGAAAACAGCACATGCGTGCTCTGCAGGGCAGGAAACCACTACCAGTAGGCTGGGGAAGGAGTTAATCCCTCTCCCTTTCCTAAGTGGCAGGATGTGCCGGCAACAAAAGCTAGTGCTAGTTGCTGTGTGGCCAATGATCTCATTGTTGGTTTGTTCTTTTTTTTTTAAAATTAATGACTAGGACTTGTGAATTGAATTCGTTAAGCAACCCAGAACTTAGCTCTGAAGCTGGAGGCAAACCAAAGTTAGTTAAGTTTTTCTAAACTATGACAGCGCTCGAGTCCTCAGCTCAGCCAAGAAAGCAGATAGCAGCAAATGCAATTGACTCTTGGTCCCCTCTTCTTCTCCCTCCCCTACTCCACAACGTGAATGCCTGCAATTGCTCTACAGAAGTCAAACACATTGCAGCAAAGACTTTTGATGGTCCAGGAAGAATAGAATGTCTTCCAGTTCAAGAGCCTTGAAATGTTCTTACAAGAAAGACAAAGATAAATTGTAAATTTTGTACAACTGACTTC